CATCATCAGTCAAAAAGAAATGAAATGAAATTATAAGACAAGTGAAAGAATATATAGATACCTGGTACAAAGAAGAAGAACAAAGACACTTATTAAAAGACAACGTTTCCTTTTAATAAGTGTCTTTGTTCTTCTTCTTTGTACTAGGTATCTATATATTCTTTCGCTTGTCTTGTAATTTCATTACATTTCTTCTTGACTGATGATGTTATGAGTTCATAACGAAACGTCTCAAATAAAATGATTAAAACGGTATCGATCATTCTCTTGTTCATATTAGAATATTACTTGTTTTGAAATACGGTAGAAAAAAGTTCAAAAGTGAATATTTATCGAAACATCATTTTCTGATAATAATCTTTTTTTTCATTGATGATGAATTTCCGAACAAGTACAGATTTTCATTCAATTGATGTATGATAACATACAAGTTGTGTTCAAAGATACATTCAATCCAAAAAACAATTTTAATTGAACAATTTTGAATGGTAGAAAAAAATGTGTTATGGACCGCACTATCGGCTTTGTAATCTCCTTCCGTTCTTTTCCGTATTTGACGAATATCATCTATGTTGACCAAAAGATTTATATTTTTTGTAGAGTAAAAAGTTCTCTATTATCTTGTTTATCGACGAATGATTTTTCTCGAAACTTTTGAAAATTTAAAAAAAGACAGCATAAAAGTGCTTCATTCTTTATATACTATCTGTTATAAGTATTAATTTTCAGATTTTTGCATTATGAATGATTTTCAGTTTCAGTTAACAGTATCGATATACATTCACATCTATCAGCTTTTAATTTCACCTTTTCCTTCAAAAAATATCGTCGTTTTTTTTTTTATTAAGTTCATCTGATTTTAAATAGTACTAGACGTGAATATCGATAGAGATTGTTCAAGGTTTGCAGATTGTGTTTTCGAATAATAATAATAATCAATCCAGGAAATTATCGTATTCAATTTTCAACAATCATAATTCAATATCTTTGTTTCCGGTACAAATCAATCATTGAATTTCATAAGAAATATATGCAATTGTTCATTTCTTGTATATATAATAAATCCTAAATAAATAAAGACGACTAATATTCATAAGTTTCCCCCCCAAAAAAATGTCAACTATTCATAATAAACAATCATTATATATGTCAAAATAATAAACTGTAAAAAAAATATTATTGAAAAAGATTAATACATATAAATTATCAATTATGATTTTTTTTGACGTTTCTTTGTTTGTTTTTTTTTTGAATAAAAATACTCTTAAATAAATTATTTTGATTTCAAGGCTAAAGAGAACATCAGTAGTTCATTCACTTTCTTGCGGGCCATCATTGTCGCTTCGTTAATATATATAT